CAACCCTTCGGCAAGCCGGAGGTCTTCAGCTGGTGGGAAGATGCCAAGGAGAATCTTCAACAGTTGCTTGCTTGGCGATGGCGGTGGTGGACCACCGACGGACAGCGTAACTGTTCGCTTTAAACAGAAACATAAGAGACATAGTCCCCGCCTTTTAAGGGGGGAAGTTACGAATTGAACAATGCAAACGTGTTTGTTGCAAGGTGTTTACCCTCAAAACATGTCGCAGGCGTGACAAATTCACTATGAGCATTTGACCAAACTTTCGTTCATGCATGTACTTTAGTCATGAGCCACCCGATCAAAACCTTGCAAAACCGATAGGGGCCAACCCAGAATCAACCCAAGGCATCTTTTGGCATTGGGGACACCAAGAAGTTGTGTTGGCCACTCGCATGTTCAACGGTTTTTGTGATACTTTGTTTGCTTGTTGCGGCGGGTCTCGGATCTGTTGTTTTTGTTGTTTTGCGGCCAAGGTTGGGATTCCCTTCGGACAGCCCGGCAGCGGTGCCCCAGAGCAGGGCGCTTTGGACGGTTGGACCGTTGTGCTGGAGAAGAGTTGAAGACCTCAGACGTGAGTGACGATGCGAGACGAATGGCAGACACATGCACACCCACAGCCGATGCGACCCTTTGATCAAGGAGATCCAGTTGCAGTGGAGAAACGGGAGAAAAAACAAGGTGAGAAAACAGTTCGAGCAGATGAGGAGTGTTTATCACAGCCCCACAGTATCCCACAGCCGGACAGGGTCCCACAAAAGCTAAATTCGGTTATAGCAGGTTCACGGTGTTCTTCTGTGTGAAGCGAGCGCCAGAGCGACTAACACCACACTCACTCGCCAACTGTCCGACGAACAGTTCGCACACCCCTCGAAGCCCTTCCACATCTGTGGGGTGCTAGAAGGTAGACAAATAACCACAAGACGAAAAGTAGAATGGCCCTCAACCATACGAGAGAAGGGCCTGCAAGCTCCTGTAACTGAACCACCATCCGCTCTTACATGGATATGCGGCAATGGGATATGCGCAAGCCATGTTGGTATAGCATAATTAGTACCCACATGGTCTATTTTTTTCGATTCCACCTGGTCATGTGGACTCATGAGGCACTTGGAATATGTTCTCAGGCCTACTCCCTTTGGTCTTCGGAACCTTTAGCCGCTTAGCCCCTTTGGATCCCTTTGGTTCATAAGGGACCTACCACTAAACTCATCCAAACTCCTAGTTGGGTTGAATAACCCTTGGCAGAAGACCTCTTCGGAGAGGCCACGTATCCTGTTTCTTCCTATTTCTTCGCTCGGCATCGTCTCTTTTGGGCGTTCGAGGCATGGTCTCGCGCTGAGGCCATGTGCACACGATGATGCCACATGGTACCTGTTGGCACAGTCCGTGAGGCCGGTGAAGGGGTCGTCCGGGGGCGTGGGGAGCGCGTTTCGACAGCTAGGTCCAACAGCGTGGGGCATGACATGGTTGTTTCCATGCCTACCTAGGAAACGTGGGGCCTTCAATCCTTTTGTTTGAATTGGGTTCTCCGAGTTTCTCCACTAAGAAAGCACAAGGGCAGGGGAAAAACTGATTGAACATTAACAATCCTTTCAAAAGTAATATTGATTGTTTTCAAGAAAACATGAGATAATCAACCTGTCTTTTCCAGGGGAACTGAGGAGGTCTGATTTGGGCATGACATTACTCGCCAGTATATACACTACTCAACAACGTGCCATCCAGTTCAATGGTGATGTGAATGTGATCCATTTAATGCAAACCCATTGAACCGCATGGCATGTTGTAGTGAGTCGGCCTTATATGACAAGACTCCTATGCATGCCCATATGACATGACTTGTTGGTCTCCGGCCTTTAGGGGAAGTTGACAGGCTTGGGCGTCTTTGTGAGACGACTCCGCGACGAGTCATGCCGCTAAAGAGAGAGAGAGAGAGAGCGAGAGAGACACACACACACATGACTTGTAGGGATCCTTGTTTTGGCACCTGGGTACCCTCACCATAGTGAGCATAGGTGGCCAATCATCCACATGCCTGCCTTTGGCAGCAATCCTGGTTTTGAGTTGGTGTAGACTTGTATCAATGAATTGGTTTAAGGCTTAAGGGAAAATCTGTAGGAAATCCATAGTTTTCATTGTGAAAACCATGGTTTCCTGTGGATTTTCCCTGTAACCTATTCATTCATTGTAACCTATTCATTCATTGGAGGGATCCTGGTTTTGAGTTGGTGTAGAATGGCAAAAATGAAGGGTGCAACTTTGTGGGGTGCCTGCTGAGTTTGCTAGCCCAATGGCGAGTGGTCAACTGAAATCTACTGAATCCACCAATAACACTTGCGTAGGCGTAGGCATCGGATTATAGGTCGCTGTAGTTCTAGATACTTCAAGTACTTCCTTAAAAAATAAAGCATCAATGATAAAACTTTTTTTTAAAAAATTGGAATCCAATTTCTTTTGCAATCCAGTGGTTGTCAAGTTCATTCAAGTTCCACGTTCCTTTGGATGTCGATGGACGTTCTTTCGTCGTTTGTTTTTTGTTGTTTTTCTTGACTCGTGAGAGCCGGAGTCCTCACCAGAGCATCATAGTCTCTCGTAGCCTCATCCCCGGCATATGGCAAGTTCACGCAGACTCCTGATTGATTAAGACCCCCGGATTAGTAATATTGTAATATTTAACCGTGTAGTGTAGAGTCTTGATTTTGATTAAGGCCGCCCCCGTTTGGATTGTTGAGCCATTTGATACAGTTGGGTTATTAATCAAGAGTTTACATGCATAACCATATATATATATTATGTATATATATATATGTATACCAAATAAGTTAAATAAGTGTGTTTCAGGAACAATACGTTTATGTGCCTCTTTGCTCGTCACTGCGCCTAGAGTGATGTAGAAGAGCTTCCAGTGAATAAGCAACAGCCCTGTTTCCAACCCGTTCCTTTTGCGCAGCAGGTGCTGCATGACGCACCACACGCAGTTGGAATGAGCGAGTGTAATCGATCACGGAAATTCCGGAGCTAACTGGCAATGTGTTTTGTCCTGCAGCGCCTTGCGACACACATTTTTCACAGACAGGTCCACAGTTTCAAGCAGACACATCGCTCCTGAGTGAGAGCAACACCCTCTTTACTGAACCTCTCATGGGTGCCTGGCCACGCACTGAGCGCACTGAGCAAGGTCAGTAGTAGCTGTACCAAGAGTTTGTTTTGTGGATCGGCACGAGTCGTGCTTTGTTGATCAGGCATGGGTCGTGTTTAAGGGTGTGGAAGAGATTGATATGCGCAAGATGGCAATGACATGATGCTGATTTGGTCCCACAACAGGTCCAGAGTTTGCATGTGCACTCACTTAGCCATTGGGTTGGATACACATGTTTGCTTAAATCCGACTGTTCCAAAGGTTGTTTGACCCTCCACGGACATTTCCAAGGTCCTTCAAAGAAGCAAGTTGGTAGATTCATGTAGATTCCAAAGACGGGAGAAACTTGATGGATTGATGGATGTTTTATTGTTTGAGGCTTTGCCTTGGTCAGAAACGCCCTAGGATTTATTTTGGGGTATTTTGAGTCCCTCCAACTTGCAGCAATCGAATGCCAGCTCCGGCAAACCAACGGGATGCTTTTATTACGCTCCCGCAGCTGGCAACTTTGCGACTTGTAGATAGTTTTGAACTCCTGCACAGTTTTAGGGCACACTGGATTCTCTGTGTTGATGCCATGTCATTCCTTGTCACTGTAAGTGTGCCCTCCACACTGTGGTCCAAGTGTCAGCCAGCTGCACGCCCAACCCAGGTAAATAGAATATAGACTTATTCGATAGATTTGCATGTCCACAGGCTTTGTCACCATTGTTATGGTTGATATACTGGTATATATATATGATTGTATATGTTTTTTGGTATCTGTTTGTTATTAAAGCAGCCCTCCAACCCCTCAAGAAAATACTTGAGGCCCTGGAAAAGCACTTTTCTGGGCCATGAGTCATCCTGGACGTCCGGACGATCCAGCGTGCTCGAAGAAGAACGTCTTATGCCTGCGATGATCGCACAGCCACATGCGCAGTGCCACGGTTATAGGGAGGGGGTTGGCAGCTCAGCTTGTCTGAACATCAAGGGTCTGTTGAACTTCACCCTGCTGATTTGGCAAAATCGTCCCATCACGGTAGTTGCAAGGCTTCTGGTTTGGTGGTCCTTGAGTCCCGTTTGGTGGCAGGATGCGGTAGGAGCATGTGTTTCTTCAGATGGCATTTAGCCAGGACTGTCTCCCGCTCCCTGGGAACGAATTCGAAGATCTGTGTTTCCCTGTACAGAGGCTTCGCGTGTTGTCTCTCTGCGAGTCGAGAATCGTTCATTAGAAAGTGGATGTGGAGAAAAGGTGTAGTTGGAGTTGTGCAAGCTGTGCCATGTGCGCAGCAGTGCGTGCATGCATTTTGAAGCAGAGACTTGGGATCTTCAAGCGTTTCCCAGCCTCAAGTTTGTAAGGTGGCCGATGTGGAGGCCCATTGCAAGAGCCATATGGAGGTGTTTTGTCATCCAGGTGAGTTGGTTTTATTTATCAACCGTCAACATGACCAGTTGCTAGAGTCCACTGCCTTAGAAGGCTTCCTGGGGCGAGTCTACAGGAGATGCTAGTGCTCACCCTTGTCTTTCTTGGCTGCCAGCGGAGTTCTGCACTGAGATCCATAAAGAAGGATCCACTTAGCAGCAAAGTTAAAGGGCCAATCAAGACAACTGTGTTGTGGCTCCGTCACATAGGTCTCTTGACTGCCAGTCACTTGAGGACTTCTTCGGAGTTCCGTAGCAGATAGGGGCTATCTTCAAGCGAGTTGAAGTCAAATCATCGACAAAGAGCAGAGATATGAAACTTTGTTTGGCATTCAGCTTGTTGCTCTTTGTTGCTCTTGAGCCTAAGGTCCACCTCATAAAAATCAACCGAAAGTCTGCAGGCTATCGGAGGCCTTGTGTTTAGCATCCCAACAGCACGGCACACCTACGGACCATGGCGCGACGGAAGACTGGTCAGCAGGCATCGTGCTAGGGTGAGGAAAGCTGTGTTGCACACTGAAGCCGTAGATTTATCAGATTATGTTATATCTCTGATGGTTTCTTGAGCAGGAGCTTCCTTCAAGGAATAAGGTGTTGATCAGGAGTTTGAGATGGTTTTTGGGAGGCTTTTCTGAGCAATCCTTATCACTGACAAAATCGTGACCTATCACTGAAAAACACACCTTTGCCCTTCAGAAATGATGACATCCTAGAAATTGGTAATGAGATCAAGGTGGCTTCGTCAAATCAAAGGCCTTCATGTAAGTCCATTGGTTTTGGATCAATTTCATGGTGACCACTGACCCAATGCCACTTTCTGGCCACTGGTGGGTTGAAACGTTTTCCCAGACAAGCACTTCTAAGAAGGTGGAAACTGAAGAACGTCCATGCACAACGAAGCCTTCAAGTGAGTCTTTAAGTCTACAAGCAGAGTTAATAAAACTGTGTTCTTTCTTGGGGGGATGCTAGTACATTTCGTGACAGATTGCTTTGGATCTCCAATTTCGACGACTGATTTCCTGATTTGGACAGCTTTGGGATCATCATGCCCAAGTCCTGTTAGACACAGCCCACAGCGTTCGGAAAGTTTCAGAGCACTTCCACTTCCAGCCCCAACCACAACTGCATTCCACTTAGACTTGGGGCCCCGACAGGTGCTGCGGCGGATCGTGCTGCTGCCACTCATCATTCTCCTTGGCCCAGCTTTCCTCGCCGCCCGAGCGCCGGGTGGAAGTGGCCGCGCCGAAGTCTACCTCGCGCGCCGAGAGGTCTTGCTGACGCTGCCGCTGGTGGAGGCAAGGTTGAGGTGCTTGGATTCTTCTCCTAGATGGCGCCCTTCCTCCAAGAAACATGTATATATTTAAATGGAGAACACCCTGTTTATATTGGAACAGGGTCTTCCACAGGACCAGGCCATCCGCTTCAAGGTTGGATAGAGGATACGATGATTCCAGTGTTGGGTACATCTCAACAGCTCACCCGGGGCAACGTCCCCTGACCCCTTGAGACCCCGCTCTAAGCGGGTCCAATTCTGCAACGTTTGGACCAGCAAGGGGTTGCACGAAGCAAGGGACCAGAGCGTGCAGTTCAAACCCTATCATGGATACATTACATATGCTTTGAGAGGGTGCTTGGAGACACTTCGTATGTAGGCGTCAGGAGGGTCCAAGTACCTTCTGAGAAGGCATGTGGATCCCTAGAGAGAGTGATATGGGCGGATGTTTTTGAATGGGGATGCGACATGGGAAGGAACTACAGCGATGGTCGACAACACGCCCAATGTGCTGTGAGAACAAGGTACTCTTGACAACGCATCACCGTATCACTTGATTCGTCGGATGTTGGGTGGACATGATATAGAACCCCAAAAAGATGGACAAATAGATCCCCCACATAGCGAAACACCCTGTATTGGGCCGCAAAACACAGGAACATGTAAAATGACTCAAGTTGTCGGAGTAGACTCAAGCTGTCGGAGTCAACTTCACAAAATGTATTGGACAAATAGAACCCAAAAGTTATATAGAACCCCAAATAGATGGACAAATAGATCCCCCACTCAAAATGCGCCGTGTCTCTTGGGGGACCACTTGGAATTCCTCCACGAAGGCGAGTGCGGCGAGTCCGCTACCATCACCAGCATGGCATCCACTGGCGAAAGGAATGCTATTGGTCTAAACCGGTTTGTAGCTTGCTGTGCTTGCACCCAGCTGACACAAAGTGAAAGTGAACCATCCGCCCAAAAAACATGCAGATAGGCCTTCCGGTCCGGGCATGGAGGCCTTCCAGACGCCGACACCAGTCCATGTCACGAAAGGTAGCGGTTACGCTACCTGAGTTGTCTTTGCTTTAGCAATAATGTATTGGGGGTGGTGAAGTGGTCCGGTGCTTGATTTCGGTCGTTTAAAGAGTTGGTTTTAAATGTCAGGGCGGGGGCCCCCCCCCCCCCCCCCCCCCCCCCCCCCCCCCCCCCCCCCCCCCC